ACTTGCCATGGTTTTCTGGGGGTTCCAGTTTTATAACAATTAGTCCACAGATTGCCTGCATTCTTCCTCCTACCGCTACCTCTTTTCTAACTGATTAAGTTCCATAGCCCAAAGGGAAGACGTCTTGGGTTCCTCTCTCATTGTTGTTGTTAGGTACTGTTGAGTCAGTTCTGACTCACGGTGACCCTCTATGTTCCTCAGAACAAAGCGTTCCTCAAAGTAGCTGCCATGTTGGAACCCACTGTTGCAGTCACTGTGTCAGTCCATATCAATGAGGGTCTTCCTCTTTTCCACTGACCCTCCACTTTACCAATCATGATGTCCTTCTCCAGGGACTGGTCCTTTTTGATAACATGTCCAAAGTACATGAGATGAAGTCTCGCTCCACCCTCCCTTCTGACTGTACTTCAAGTAACTCCAATATGTTATTTCTTTGGCAGTCTGTGTGATATTTAATATTCATCCCCAACTCCATAATACAAAGGCCTCAATTCTCTCCTGTCAGTCTTATTCATTGTCCAGCACACTTTAGTCCTCAAAGTGACATCTTTGTTTCTGAACACTTTACAGAGACCTTCTGCAGCAGATTTGCCCTCTCTTATACCCAGGGAATACTCCAAGGGGTGATTCAGCCTGTGATTTACTGCGGCTAATCGTCTAGTGCTGTCTGCAGGGTTAGGTGGGTAGAAGGTGATGTCGGCCCCACCTCACAGGAATTACAGAGCGGTGTGCTTACTTCCGGGACTCTTAGGTGTGCTCTGCACAGTCTGACTCATGCGTGAAGTTTAAAGGTGGGGCTCGTGCCGCAGACAGCCTTCCCTACCTGAGTCAGGCAGGCCCGGGCACTGAGCGGGAAGGGCAGGGCAGGTATAAGAAGCAGCAGCAGAGGTTCCTGCACAGCCAGCAGGAACCCAGGGACCAAGATGCTCCCCTCAGTGAGGTGGTCTGCCCGGAGCACAGGATGGCTGTGGCTCTTTGGGGCAGTGCTGGGGCAGTGCCTGGGATATAACACACAGCAGCAAAGGGCATTCCCTCAGCCTCCTGGTCAAAGTCAAAGTCATCTGCAAGCAAGTTATGTGGAGTTTAGACCCAGCCAGGTAATGTCGGTTTCTCAATGTGGGGTTGGGGTGGGGAAGGGTTCCCAGCTTTGTGACATTTTCAGTTAAGGTGATTAGTGAGTAAGTGGGTGGGTTGGGGGAGGGCTGATGGCTTCCCCATTTTGTTGACTGGCAGCATTTATTACTATACTTGGCAGATTGCTCCCTGAGCTGTTAACCACAAACCCCATAAACATCAGCCCACCTGGAAAGGCCAAGGGAGTTAAGAATTTGAATGTTTGTGGGATGTTAATATACATTGAAACTGTGCCCTTTGCCTCAGGGAAAAGGTGTCCAATCTCTGTAGGTTTCCAAAATCTGCTTGGAAGAAAAATCACCCATAAAATAAATCCTGAGAATCAGGGGAATTCCTGCTCAGGAGAGTGATCAGATAAGATTTACACAGTACCTAACAGACAGGCTGTAATTTGCTAGGCATTGAACATTCATAAATTCTGTTATCTTCCTGTTAATTTCCTGGATGTTATATGGACGCATGCAGAGATATAGATTCTATGGCTATTGAAATAGCTCTGGAAACCTGAAAGGGATATAATTTTACCATGCGTTGTAGTTTACTGGAAACGTTGTCATAAATAATTATCACATTGAAAATACAACTAAATAGAAACACATATTTACTAAAATAATATATTAGGACACATTCATTTTTATTTAGAATTAGTCTTCAATGCAATCTGAATATAGGAGCTGAATTTTATGTAACGTGTGTGCGGGGGGCTACTTGCTTTATAGAAGTGACAAAATGATGGTATTTCAGTAACTGACAAACGCTCTTAGAGAGTCACAAAGATGCCTTTTTTCTGTTTATAATCAAAAGCAAACTAAGAAGAGCAATGTTAGTTTTAATCAAGATAAATTATTCAATAACCAAAGATGTACACTTTAGGCTTTTACTCATGTGTATTGTCATAAACCAACTTGATGCATTTGCTCTTTGGATAATTTGCTCTTTACCAAATATGCTTATTTTACAAGCATGTAATACTATCTGTAGCAGTAATTATGAGGTAATTGCCACTTATGAATAGGGATTATTTGTGTGTAGATACAATCCCACCATCATTAGCTAAATTTCATCTCTCATTCATGCTTACAGATAAAAAACATTCCTTTCATACTTTGATTCTTCTTTAGACAAGCCTGTTCGTATAGCACATAAAGTAATCTAAGTTTTTACAATGTGTACTTTTGCCTAAACATGGTTCCTAATAGCTTAAGGGGATTTTATATGGGAAATTACGACCTTGTTATTGTGTATGTTTTCAGTCAGTGGTAATTTTGGAAGAAGCTCCCAACAAACGATTGAGCTATTTCACTCTGGGTTGTAAGTGTTGTTTCTGCCTCCAGTCCCTCAGATGTTTTCCCCGCCCCTCATTTTGTGCAGCCCGAGACCCTTATGTTGTTGTTGTTGTTAAGTCGGTTCCGACCCATAGTGACCCTGCATAGGGTTTCTAAGGAGCAGCTGGTGAGCTTGAACCACTGACCCCGCAGTTCAAATGATTGCAGTCTGGTGCATTAGCCCACAGAGCCACACCAAGGCTAGAGACAGGGTCTAGAGACCTGTATGTTGTTTTTGTTGTTGTTAAGTGCTGTCGAGTCGGTTCCAACCCAAAGCAACCCTGTGTAGGGTTTCTGAAGAGCAGCTGGTGAGCTTGAACTGCTGACCTTGCAATTCAAACAGCTTTGCAGTCTGGCACATTAACCCACGGTGCCAACACTGTACTCCAGAGATCCTTATAGCCACGGATAAATGGGAATGTACTGTTCAATTCAAAATTCCTTTTAACTGTAACCTCAATGTCTTACAGATTCAAAGTTTGTCTTTTATCATTAAATACTATTTTTTCCTGATGTTTTAAAGATAGGACATATATGAGATTTGTAGTGGGGGGGGAGTCATAAATCTGTTCTTAAATTGTACAGTGATTAAAAAATCCACTTGCCATGGAGTTAATTTTGACTCATGTTGATCCTTAGTTCTGACAGAATGAAGAAAATGTCTGGCATTTTCTTAAAGATGGAAATCTAATAATGTCTTCATGTTTTGTTGTTGTTGTTAAGTACAGTTGAGTCAGTTTCAACCCATAGCGACCCTGTATAGGGTTTCCAAGGAGCAGAAAGCCTCATCATTTTCCCAAGAAGCTGGTGGGTTTGAACCGCTGATCTTCTGGTTCAAAGTCCAGTGCTTATCCTACAAAGCTACCAAGTCTAGTATATGAATAATAGTTTTTATATTTTCCAGTTGGAGGCATTCTTGGCTAGAACCCTTTTTGGTTTTTATTTTTAACATCAGTTCATCAAAATTTTTAAAAATACATTTTTATTAGTATGAAGCATAATCATCTGTATTAAGCTGGAAACAGAAATAATGAAAACATTATTGAACAAGAAAACAAGACCAAACTCACAGAGGCTTCTTCAAGCTGGGTCTGTAAATGTTCTGTGTGGACAAATGGGTCACGTTCATGCCGAGTCCTGTATGAGAACTTGAACGTGGCCCAGGTCCCCATTGCTCACAGATAGTGAGTGATAATGAAGTGATTCTGACTATTGAATCTGCCATAATTGTATGAATCCCAGTTCAGACTTCATAGCATAGTGAGTTAAAAGCTGGGCTGGTAACCATGGGAGAAAGATGAGGCTTTCTGCTCCCATAAAAATTTACTGCCTCAGAAAACCTATGCAAGGTCACTATGAGTCAGAACCGACTCCAAGACATACCGCCATCACCACCACCAACAGTTATGAGGACAACACAGGACTGGACAGTATTTCATTCTGTTGTGCATAGAGTCACTGTGAATCAGAACTGACTCAATGACACCTAACAACAATTCCCCCTCCTTCTCTTTCCCCCCCAGCTGTCCCCAAAGCAAGCTTGGAACCTGCGTGGCTCCCTTAGGAAAACTAACCTGAAGTGCTTGGCTAGCTGCCCAGTCCCCTGAGGACTAACTTCCTGGCCCTGTAGGCTCTTTCGCCATTCCACCCTCCCACTCCCCCTCAGAGGAGAGGATCCCCATTTCCACAGCCCACCCTCAACTTCCCCCACCTCACATCTCAACTCAGGTGCAAGCCCACATTCGCACAGTTGCATAGGAACTAAACACAACCTCACACACTGAAAGTGGGCCTTGCTAGAGTTTAAAGTGAGAAATCCATATACAGAATGAAGGAAAGAAGATAAAAAGCAAGTGCTCCACAGTCAGACTTGTCATGTTGGAATAATAGCTGTTTCCTTCTTGCTACTGATGAAACATTGTGTTTGAAAAACAGGGATGCAGCCCTGGGTATTATCGGGATAACAATGGCTTGTCTACTGGACGGTGTGTTCCCTGCAATTGCAACGGGCATTCCAATCGATGCCAGGATGGCTCCGGGATATGCATTGTGAGTAAACTGATGCCTTACTGTTCCTGGCAGGCAGTCTGTTTCTGCTCCATTTCCCCTCTAACCAACACAATAATCAAACCCACTGCGGTCGAGTCGATTCTGACTCAGAGTGACCCTAAAGCAGTTTGAACCCACCAGAGAGCCCATGGGAGCATGTCTTCTTTCTCACGTGGAGCAAGTGGTGAGTCCAAACTGCCGACCTTTCAGTTAACAGCCCAACATTTAACCCATGTCACCCCCAGGGCTCCTCACCTAATAGAGTTCCTATGTAATATATGGGAGTCCCTAAGTAGTGTAAATGGTTAATGCTCATGGCAACTAATGGACAGGTTGAAAGTCTGAGTCTACCCACAAATGCCTTGGGGAAAAGGGTTGGGGATCTACTTCCAAAAACTCAGCCACTGAAAGCCTTATGGAACACAGTTCTACTCTGATGTATGGGGTTGCCATGAATCAGAGCTAGCTCATTACCCTAGCTCTTGTTAGGAGCTTGCCCTCAGCTCAAGTGTTATAAGACTGAATAATCTTACACTCTACTGTTGCCCCTATTTCATCAGTTGAGAACATCTGTCTGAACAGTTACACATTAGCTTCTAAATCTATGTCATTAAATGATATGGATGAGTGAACCTTCGTGGTAGTGGTGGTTGTGTGCTGTAGAGTCAGTTCCGACTCATAACAATCCTATATAGGGTTTCCAAGGCTGTAAATCTTTACAGGAGCAGAAAGTCTCATCTTTCTCCTGGGGTGGATCCTAAAACTTGCCAAGATATTATAAATGGGGTGGCAGGAGGTTGTGGAGGGTGGGGTATTGTTGTGATCAGAGGAGCAGCAACACCACAAGGCACTGGCGATGTTAAAGAAAGTATATATATATATATATACATACATACATATATATATATATATAAGCTATGGTAGCGTAGTGGTTACGAATCGGGCTGCGAACCGCAAGGTCAGAAGTTCTAAACTACCAGCTGTTCCGCGGGAGAAAGAGGAGGCTTTCTGCTCCTGCAAAAATCTACAGCCTCGGAAACCCTGTACAGAGTCACTATGAGTCGGAATCGACTCCACGGCACATAACCACCACCATATATATACAGCCCTGGTGTGATGCTGTAGGATAAGCACTGGACTGCTCACTGCAGATCAGCAGTTCAAACCCACCAGCTGCTCCTCGTAAACCGTATACAGAGTTGCTGTGAGTTGGAACCAACAGAATGGTTCTGACCAACAAACAACATATATATAGCTCAGTCAAACATGAACCCTCCTCCACCGCCAGGACAATGTGGGTTTATGTAGGAGCCAGGTGAGGGGAGGGAGTCAGGGAGAAGGAACCCCCACACACCTGCCCCAACCTCCTCCTTCTTCCTAGTGTTAACTTCCTTTCAGGGCGACCCTGAGGTCTATGACTTATCCACTGGAAAGCAATCTTTTCTTTGTAATATGCTAGAAAATGCTACCCATAAAATCAAGTTCCTATAAAACTTTTATTTTGCATCCTTCGTGAAACCTTTTCTTATTCTGCTTCTTTCCTTTCTCTTACCAAATTGCCCCTTGGTAATAAGGGTCAGCTCCAAAGGAAGGAGAGAGTGTGTGAACCCCCAGGAATACAGACTCTCCCCCACCACAGTTATGTTGTGCTTTCTTTTGGAAATGCATTTTTCTGGCCTGGATTTCCTTTGCATTGTGTACTTCAACTAGAGTGCCTTTCAACTGTCCCTATTAAGCCAGTTCAGCATGTCCCAGGCATTACTTCCCCTGCAAGACTGGACAGGCCAGAACAGGATGTTGCTAAGAAGAGCCTGATAGACTATTTGTAGGATTTTGGCCTTATAAGTTCAGAAAGAACAAAAGACATCAGAAACTATTGGATTTTCAGCTCCTAAGTATCCCTATATAAGATAGTATCTTTGATGCTGTATGTTGTATGTAATGTAGGTAGATGCTTTGATTAAAAATGAATATTTAACTTATCACTGAACCATTTCTACATGTCAAGTCTATTCTGTAAAAACTGCTGAAAACAAAGAGAGTTTTGTCTGTGGTCTATTCATCCAGGGAGAGGGTGACAGTCACAATGCACAGGTTTTAATCAAACACAGTTGGCTGTTTCACTTCCTTTTCCTGTAAGTCTGCCTTCACTCATCCCTAATGGCCAGCGGGTCTCTAGAAGCTAAATCATTCAGCAGACCCTTACTAAACAGCTGCTATTGTGCAGGTACTAAGCTAAGTGTTGGAGTTAAAATTGTAAAGTAAAGATCATCCCTGTTCTTGAAACATTTGCAGCCAGTTGGGGGATGTGTGTACACACATTCAGGTATGTGCAGGTTTGTACACACTGGGGCCCTTGTCTGGACACACTCACATGTGCTCAGTGGTGGCGCAGCAGGGAGTGGTAATGTAGCCACTGCGAGGTTGCCAACCCCAGTTACAACCCCAGTCATCAATGAATTTGTTATTGTTGTTAATGCCATCAAGTCAATTCCCATTCATAGCAACCCTGTATAGGGTTTCCAAGGAGCCTCTGATGTCCTACTGACCTTGTGGTTAGCATTCCAGTGCTTATCCTACAGCGCCACACCAGGACTGCATGAACAGAAATGGGGAAATGAGTGTCGAATGCTTTCAGGCTGATGCCTCTGTAAATTGACCCCTACCTCTAAAGGTCCAGAGCAAATTTCTCAAACCGAGAACCTTCACACACGTGCAAGTCTCCATATTATTAAAAAATAAGCTTCGAAGTTTAAAAAGTAAATAGCCCAACCCCTTGTGCATGTTCATTTGAGGGCAGGAATATCATGGGGTATGTTACACTGACGTGGCTGCTGGAATGACTGGCAGCGCTCCCTTGTCTCTGTGGAGGTAACCAAGGCTCCCTTCTCTTAGTGGAGGTCCCCCAGGGCTCCCCTCTCTCTATGGGGATCCCCAGTGCTCCCTTCTTTGTCAAGGCCCCGCCTTTTCCTCTTCTCCTTGCCCTGCCTTCACTCCTTTTTCCCTTTCCTTTAGCTCCCCTAGCCCCGTTGTTGTCTCTCTCACCTCCTCTACCACTATAGCCTCTCTGTATATTCCCCTTTCTCTTCCCATCCTCTTTCTTTGGTTTTCCTTCTTTTAATTCCATGCCTTTGAGCCCATCTCCCCTGCTGTCCCCAGAATGATTCATCTGCAATTCTTATGGGACCCAGGGCTTCCCCATTTAAAATCTTCCAGTGGCCCCAGTGAAGCTTTCAGGGGGAAGCCCTAATCTTAGGGGGCCTGTGGGGCCTCCTTACCAGTGCAGCCTGCCTCCTCTGACCCCTCCGTCTGAGAGCACAGAATGCTGAGGCATCTCAAGACTCTGAGGTTCCTTACACACTGTCCTCTGGGCCTGCGATGGCCTTCCCTGACTTCTCCACCCAGCTGAAATCTACTCTTCCATCCTTTATTCAGAACCCTCACTTTTGGGAGGCCTTCCCTGAGTTTGTAGAAGGGTCAGCTGCACCTCCTCTGCTCTTACACAACTCTGCACAGAACTTTGAATGCAACAAATTCAGTATTATATTCCATATGTGTTGTTATTGTTAAGTGACATTGTCTGTCGAGTCGGCTCCAACTCAAAGTGACCCTGTACACGCTCTCTGAGGAGAACTGATGGGTTTGAACAACCAACCTTGTGATTCAAACTGACCTTGCGTTCCAGTGCTTTATCCCACAGTGCCACACCAGGACTCCATATGTGTAGTTAACAGGGTTATATCTGCCCCCAAATCAGGGTACCAATTCATTCCTGCATCCCAAGCATCTGGCATAGTTTGGCATTCAACAAGTGCCTGTAGATGCTGGTTGTTAACTGTAACTAGGAGAGTACATGCTGTGAGAGTGAAGGAGGGCACTCTGTCATTCATTCATTCTGGGAGGCTCAAAATGAAACACAAAGACCCTGAGAGGCAAATGTCTCAAGTACGCAGAACTGATGAAGATAGCTTCAAGAATAGCTGTGCTCAGCTGAGAGCCAGGGCATTTCAGAAATTCTTGTGGAACTTTACCAAATAACACAGGCTCTGACCCCTTTCCACGATCCGCCCCCATGTCCCCGTGGGGGCTGACACACTCTTAGTCTTGTGAAGAACAGTATTCAGAAAGCTTTCTGCAGACTGCAGATGGCCACATTGTGGTTCTTATTTCTTCATGTTTTTCTTGTTTCTCCAGGGTTTTTAACCTCATAACTAGGTAGACGTAGGACTAAAATATATGTATCCAGAAATGTTCTTCTTTAAAATTATCATTGGGAGTTGAAAAGGAAAGAACACTGAAGTGGGAAAGTAATGATTAGTTCAAAAGAACATATGTTTTATGGCTGAGTCAGAGCTGCTGAGCAAAGTGAGGGTGAAGGACGTCTTGTGCCCTCATCTGACCACCTTTGAGGGCTCCTTGGCAGAGCTGGTCAGCTGTAGGAGTGCCAGAACCCAAAGGGAAAAAAATCCCACAAATGGTGATAGTTAGGGACACAGGGAAAAATTCCAGGCAGGAGTCAACTTCTGATGGACATCTGATATTGACATGTGAGCAGTTTCCACAGTATAGTCCCGCCCACTTCTTGATATACTCATGAATCCCTGGCAGTTACAGCACAGTTGTACGTCTGGGGAACTTACGTATCCCTGTGTTTAACACCTTAGTTGATTGTGCCTTTCTCCATTATTCAAGAGTTGGTGAAGGATTGATTTGTTTAATCAGAACAAACTGATTACATGACTGAAGGCCCTTTTGTGATATGCATGGATGTTAAGTTTTCCCAAGCTGGCTTCATCTTTTATTCGTAAATCTAAATGCATTAAAGTTACCTACTCAAGAGTCACCTCTGCATATAAGGGTAAAATTCACAAAACCAAGTTTTTAAAAGTATACTGATTTGAGGTCATATGATTAACACAAGGGGTCACTGGCTGGTGCAAACAGTTCATGCTCTCAGCTGCTAATCAAAAAGTTGTCAGTTCAAGTTCACCCAGTGACATCTTAGAAGAAAGGCTTAGTGACAGACTTCTGGAAACTCGGTCATTGAAAACCCTCTGAAGCATAGTTCTACTCTGACACACACGGGGTCTCCGAGAATCACAATCGATTCAACACATGGAGTCACCATGAGTTGGAGTTGACTCCACAGCAGCTAATAACTGGCAATTTGCACAAAGCACTGGACTGTGAACCGCAAAGTCAGCGGTTCAAGCCCACCTGCCACTCCATGGGAGAAAGATGAGGTTTTCTGCTCACGAAAAGATTTACAGTCTTTTCTGTAAAACCCTATGTTGTTGTTGTCGGTTCTGATTCATAGCGACCCTGCACAGGGTTTCCGAGGCTGTCAATCTTTAAGGGAGCAGAATGCCTCCTCTTTCTCCCACGGAACCGCTGGTAGTTTCGAACTGCCAACCTTGCGGTTCACAGCCTGATTCGTAACCACTATGCTACCAGGAACCCTATACAGGGTTGCTATGAGTTGAAACTGACGCTATAGCACTTAACAACAAGAACAACAAGGGAACTTCTCCCGCTATGCTATTCTTATGCACTTGCTGTTGGTAAGTGCCATCAAGTTGATTCCAACTCACAGAGACCCTGTATAGGATTTCTGAGAAGTGACTAGTTTGTACCCCCAACCTTGCAGTTAGCAGTCCAGTGCTTATCCTATAGCATCACACCAGAACTCCTATGCACTTTAGATTTTTATTATTAGAGTAAAGCCCAGAAAGGGCATATGTGGCTAAAATTCCATCAAATAAATTTGACCTAACCACTAGGACTGTTTTCAGCAGATTGCTCAGTTGTGAAGTTGCATTATTTCAGTACTTTGCTCTGAAGAATAACAGTCATTAGATTTTTATCTAAGTATCAACAAGATACTTAGATAAAATTAAATGCTTGCTTCCTTTGGACATTTCATTTAATTTCAGAGCTTTTTTTTGCTATGTAGGAGCTGCCTTGGCGGCACAATGGTTAAGTGTTGGCCTGTTAGCTGCCAGGTTGGTGGTTTAAGTTCACCAACCACATTGTGGGAGAAAGATGAAACAGTCTGCTCTGGTAAAAATCTAGTCTTAAAAACCTTAAGGAGCAGTTTTACTGTCATATAGGATCGCTGTAAGTGAGAATCGGCTTGTTATGCCCTTGGGTTTGGTTTTGGTAAGTTTTTATTGTTTTAACAAATCCATGTGTTAAAAACACGTTTCCATTTCGTTGCTCTTCAGTGTACTGTTGTTAGATGAGTTATGAAGTCAAATGAAATTAATTTTTATGGAGGTAGTCCTAAGGGGAAGAAGGAGAGATATCTACATTTGTGGGTATTTATCACATTTTGCATTGGATATTTTTCTAATTATACATTGTAATAAAATTGGTATATAAATCATACATTAGTAAAATTGATATATAAAAGTCAGTGCAACTCAAAGAGATGAAAGGACTTGCCCCAGATTCCAGAACAACAAATTGTTAGAGTGGGACTTGTACCCAGCTGGTCTGTCCCCACTACACCGTGCCTTCTGACGATTGATGTCGATGCAAAAAGAAAAAAAAAAAATTCCTGTTCTGTGTAGTGATGACTGATGTCCAGTAACAAAGGGCAGGCATCTTTTTTTCTAGCGTAAACAATGCTTGGCTAGACAAGGAACATATATGATTATTGGGACTGATATCACTGTACAAAATCAGAGGACATGAGTTAGAATTGTGTGAGCAATTCAGGTTACAGTGAACGAAAAAGTAGTCAATGTAACAGGTTGCTATTAATTGTTCTCTTCATTCTATCCCAAGAACTGTCAGCACAACACTGCTGGGGACCACTGTGAACACTGTAAAGAGGGTCATTACGGAAGTGCCACCCACGGATCCTGCAGTGCCTGTCCCTGTCCTCATACAAACAGGTACTGGCAAGCTTAGACAGAACCCGTGGACACAGAATAGTTTAGCGTCTGATTTTAGCCAGGGGAGACTGCCAATTGGTACAGGGTTTCTTTGGGAGTGATGAAAATGTTCTAAAATTGATTGTGGGGGGGATGGTTGCACAGTTGTGTGGTGATACTAAAAACTACTGAATTATATATACTCTTCATATGGCATGATAGGTGACTAATAATCTCAACAGAACTGTTATAGTTTTTAAAGCAAGCAGAATATCCAAAACAAACCTATTATTCTAAGTCATATTCTTTTGGACTTTTCCTCCCTTGCTGTTTATTCAGTGGTTAAACAATTATTGGGCACCCATTATAGAGCCAGGGAAACTGAAGTAAGGAAGACTGACAAAGTCTCTGATCTCCTGGGACTTTACTGTGTGTGTGTGTGTGTGTGTGTGTGTGTGTGTGTGTTGGGATTGCACTCAATAACCACCTACATAAATACATCAGAAGTATAACTTCAGACAGGGATAAATGTTACACAGCGAATTTAAATAGGGCTATGCGGCAGAAAGGAGCTCTGGTAGCGTAGTGGTTACGAATCGGACTGCGAACCTTAAGGTCAGCGGTTTGAAACTACCAGCTGCTCCGCGGGAGAAAGATGAGGCTTTCTACTCCCGTAAAGATTTACACCCTCGGAAACCCTGTACAGGGTCGCTATGGGTCGGAACTGACTCGATGGCACTTAACAACAACAACAATGCGGCAGAAAATGAGTGGCTTCATTAGAGAAGGTGATGAAGGAGGACTTTTTAAATATTTTAAGCAGGGACCTGAGTGATGAGCTGGAAAAAGCTGTGGCAGTATCTTAGGGATGATGCCCCAGACAAAAAGAAGGGAAAGGCCATGCAGTGGTATGCTCATGAACCTGTAGAAGGCAGGGCTGGCTGGAGAGCTGTGAAAATGTGGTAGGAAACGAGGCTGGTGGATCAGCCAGAGTACATCGGACTTCTCTGAGCCATGATACACATTTGTATTTGTTACTCAGGGAGATGGGAAGCCACTGGACAATTCTGAGTAATGGAGTGACATGATGCAAGTTATTGTTCAGGCTCTAATGTAGCCAATGGACTGTGTGGCTGGTGGCTGTGTGCCGTGGAGTCAGTTCCAACTCAAAGCAACCCTGTGTAGGGTTCCCAAGGCTATAAATCTTTACGAGAGCAGAAAACTTCAGCTTTCTCCTGTGGAACAGCTGACCAGGAGATTAGCAGCCCAACTTGTAACCACTACACTACCAGAGCTCTGATGGACTGTGTAGACCTGACCAAAAAACCAGTTTCCCTGGAGTCAGTCCCAACTCTTACAGTGCATGTGTGTCAGAACTCAGTTGTGTTCCACAGGGTTTTCAATGGCTACTTTTCCAGTAGTAGATCATCAAGCCTTTCTTCTGGGGAACATCTGAGCAGACTCAGATTGCCAAGCTTTTAGTTTTCCTTTCATGGTAAACCACATTCTACTTTGGTTTGGCTCCTTCTAATATCCTTGCTTATCTTTACACGTCCGCTGTGAGAAACCAAGTGAAGCAAGAGTTGGTTTGAAAATCAGGAAGATAGTGATGAGGTAGCCACAGTGCCTAGGCTCAAAGCAAAAGTGTGGCTACTAAGGCAAGTTCAGCAGTCCAAACCCACCAGCCACTCCACGGGAGAAAGTTGAGACTGTCTGCTCCCATAACGATGCACAATCTCACAAATATTTGTAGGGTCACTATGAGTCAGAATTGACTTGATGGCAGTGAGTTTGGTTTGGTATCGGCATATGTGCCAACGCTTAAAATTACCAAAAGGCATGTGCCCACTCTGGAGATAGATTTTGAAATATTCACCCTGCTTTGTTATATATGAATTTGATATACTTTAAGCCTGCTCAGTCCTGCAACTCTATTTATAAAGGGAGCTTTCATTAACACTTGCCCAGACTTGTTAGAACGAAGCCAGAGAGAGCAGAGAGCAAAAAGATTTCCACTGGTGTGCTGGAGAGATGCCTTTCTACTTTGGGTGCAAAGCATGTGGTTATCATCAAGGTCAGCCTGCCCGGCTGCCAAGCAGTTAAAGTAACATGTACTTCCTCTGATTTATCAGTGAATCCCTACTTATTTTATCAACTTCTCCTTCCAGCACTAATAGTACTACTGAAAATTTTCTAACAGTCCCTTTAGAGATCCATCTAGAGGTATTCATCTAATAGGCCAAGAGAGGTTTCCCAAACAAGAATTATTTTATAAGATAAACTATTTGGTGCTGTTGGTTCAGTTCTGTCTGTAGCTCACCCTGTGCACTGTGGGATGAAACACTGCCTGGTGTTTCACAATCCTCACAATCATTGCTGCGTTTGAGCCCACAGTTGTAGCCACCGTGTCCATGTGTCTCATTGAGGGTCCCCTATTTTTTACTGACCTCCACTTTATCAAGCATGATGTCCTTCTCCAGGGACTGGTCCCTTCTGATAACATGTAGAAAGTATGTAAGAAGTTTCTCCATCCTCCCTGAAAAGGAGCACTGTGCCTATACTTTTTCCAGAACAGATTTCTTCATTCTTATAGCAGTCCATGATGTTTTCAGTATTCTTTGCCAATACCACAATCAAAGACACCAATTCTTCTCTGGTCTTCCTTATTCATTGTCCAGCTTTTGCATGCATGTGAAGCAGTTGAAAAGATCATGGCATGGGTTAGGTGCATTTTAGTCCACAAAGTGACTTCTTTGCTAGTTAATACTTTAAAGAGGTCTTTTGCAGCAGGTTATCAGTGCAGTATGTCCTTTGGTTTCTTGTCTATGCTACCGTGAGCATTGATTGTGGATCCAAGTAGCTTGAAATACTTGAATTTAATTTTTTTCCCCATTTATCATGGTGTTGCTTGTTGACCCAGTTGTGAGGAGTTTTGTTTTCTTTATATTGAAGTGTAATCCATACTGTCTTTGATGTTCATTGTTAGGTGTTCCAAGTCATCGCTTTTAGCAAGCAAAGTTGTGTTATCTGCATATCACAGGTTGTGATCTGACACCACGTTCTTCTTCATGTAGTCCAGTTGCTCTGATGAGTTGCTCAGCACACAGATTGAATAATATTATGAAAGGATACAACCAACACACACCTTTCCTAACTTAAACCATGCCAGATCCCCTTGGTCTCTTCAAACAACTGCCTCTTGGTCTATACATAGGGTCCACAGGAGCACAATTAAGTGTTCTGGAATTCCCTTTCTTCATGATGTTACTCAAAATTTGCTATTATCCACACAATCCAATGAGGGAGAATCATTTTCCCTCAGATTTACACGAGTGTAATGTGCGATGAATGAGAGCCTTCAGAGTATAGTAGAATTCCAAATCATCTGTGAGTGAGACCCAGAGACGTTCTACTGCTGGTCATCACCAGACTACTAAGGGAAGCTTTTGTGTTGCTGTGATGCTGAGTAGGTTTCAGTGGTGCTTCTAGACTAAAACAGACAAGGAATAAAGACCTGGTGATCTACTTCTGAAAATCAGACAGTGAGAACCTGTGGATCACAAAGGTCAGATCTGCAGTGGATCAGGACCAGGCAGGATTTATGGCTGCTATGCAAGGAGTAACCGTGAGTCAAGAGCCAACTCAACTGCAGTGAACAACAGATGCTCAGTGGACAGACGTAGTCATTTCATAGGATGACAGGGCTATCCTGTGGCCTCATTGTTAAGAAGATAAAAGAAAAAAGCTGCTTCTCAATTACATGCCAGCTTAGAGCTAAAAGAAAGGGATCAGAATTCCACTACTTAGTTTGAAAAAGTGTGAAAGTCATCAATGTTGTGCAGGTAGAACCCCTAAACTAAATCAAGCATGTGCTGTGTCGTAGACCTTTCTAAGGCTCTGAGTCTGCCTGCCCCCACCTTTGTCCCAGAAGGCAATGAGCCCAATATAAAAGAATTAGAATAAACAAGGAGAAAATTTGGGAAATAAAAAAAGAATTGGAACTCCCTGTTCTCTTTTTGCCTAGACTTGTTTTATTCTTTCCATGTTATCCCTGGAAAAATGCTGTGGTAATCTTCTTTTCCAAATGGAGTTACTTTGCTCTGTCTTGAGGACAGGAATGCATTTCTCCAAGCCAAAAATAAAATGAAATAAATGCCGTCAGCGTTATTCACCACAGTATGCCCAGGGTCAGCTGAGACATTTCATCATCATCTCTACACATTTTGACAGGTAAAATTTTCTTCACACAAGAAGTAGCCAGAAGACCCCAAGTTTCAATGTCCACTTTAATGCAAGTCAGTTCCCTGTAACAAAACTTGAGAGCATGAAGCCTATTGATTTTTATTTTCACTGGGGCTTTTGTCTGTCTTCTTTCAAGTTTTGCCACTGGCTGTGTTGTGAATGGAGGCAACGTGAGGTGCTCCTGCAAACCCGGATACACAGGGACGCAGTGTGAAAGGTGGGTGCACCGCCCCCAAGGAGTGGGGCAGGGCTCTATGGGCAGGCTGCTGCAGGTACCAGCTGTGGGTGGGGCTCTGCTGGGTCGAAGCTCAGAGCTAAGGGCAGAACTGTTCATTTTACTGAAGACTGGGAAAAATGCAAGACTGCTCACTTCATACATCATACATAGCCATTCTTCTTCTCCTAGGTTGCTATTTTTTTTCTTCAGTAATTTGATAATGAGGCTATACACACACCTGCATGTAGCCATGGGAGCATGGTGGTTCCATAGGATAAGCACTGGACTACAAACCACAAGATCCACAGTTTGAGCCCACCAGCCACTCCATGAGAGAAACATGAGGCTTTCCGCTCCCCAACACAAAAAAAGTGAAAGCCTCAGAAGCCTCCTACAGAATCGCTCTGAGTCAAAATCTACTCCGTGGTACTTTCAACAACAACTCATATTCCTATAACAGTGTGGCGCCCTTAGATAAGCACTGGACTGTAAGGTCAGTTTGAACAGCAAGATCAGCCATTCAGTCTCACCAGCCACGCCTCAGAAACCCTATACTGGATCGCTGTGAGTCAGAACCAACTCGACGGCACTTAGCAACCACAGTACCCTCATACATATCTCTGTGTAGCTCTACCCAACATACATTTCTGTTACCCCATTTCCTTACATACTCTACTCCACACAGTGTGTACTAGTACACACTCATACTCCAACACACACATACATGCCTATACAAACATGCACACACACACACGCAAGCATCCCCACACTATATTATTAACACATTTAGGGCAAAGTTTCCATCATAGTCGCATCTTTGTTTAATAAAATAATATGTTATTTTATGTTCAGTCAGTGGAAGTTTGCACAGTACTGTATAATTTATTCACTGACATTGGTGGTGGCAGCAGATGTGCGCTGTATAAGGGTTTCTGAGGTTACACATCTTTACAGGAGCAGAAAGCCTCATCTTTCTCCCACGGAACCACTGATAGTTTCTAACTGCTACCCTTGAGGTTAGCAGCCCGATTTTGAACCACTACGTTACCAGAGCTCCTTATTCGATAACGTTGTTGTTGTTAAGTGCCATAGAGTCAGTTCCGACCCATAGCGACCCTGTATAGGGTTTCCGAGGAGCAGCTGGTGAGCTTGAACCACTGACCTTGCAGTTCAAACGGCTTTGCAGTCTGGCACATTAACCCACAGCGCCACATATTCGATGACATTAGTGAGTGACACATTTTCACAATGAGTCAGCATTCCCTTTCCTTGTGTTCTATTTGCTCCCTTTCCAGTGTGCTTTACTTTCTCTGCACAGTTATGGGCTCATCTTACTTTAAAGTAATTGTTGATCTTTTTGGTCTCATAGAGAGATTTGTTTTAAGTAGCACACCATATTAAACTGTAGTACCCTTTATAGTGAGGCTTCAAAAAGTTTGTGGAAAAATGGTGTTGAAAGTCACAGGAGATTTTTTTCGTGGACTTTTTGAAGCTCCCCTTATATGTAACACATTTTGCAGACCCATTTATCTGTTGATGGGCATTTAGGTGGTTTCTGTTTTTCTCCTATTGTAATTTCAGGAGGAACTTTTCCCATACTTACCTCTAATCTATTATTTATTCATTTTTCAATGGGAAATGTATGGAGATCCTAGTGTCGGTCTGGTGCTGCACTAAGTGGAGACAGCATGGTCCATTACAGTCTAGTAATTCCAGGAGCTCTGGTAGCGTAGTGGTTACGAATCAGGCTGCGAACCTTCAGGTCAGCGGTTTGAAACTACCAGCTGCTCCGCGGGAGAAAGATGAGGCTTTCTACTCCCGTAAAGATTTACACCCTCGGAAACCCTGTACAGGGTCGCTATGGGTCGAAACCGACTCGACGGTACTTAACAACAACAACAATGAATGGATGTGGCTGTAACCCCTTGAGATCACATCACAGGGCTGAATCAGGCTGCATAGGATGGTGCCCAGCCAGCTCTGAAGGCTGAGGGAAGGAAGGAAGTGGCAGCTTTACTGAGATGGGCGTGTGTGTGGGGGAGGGTGGAGTTGGAAAGTTGTTCCAGCACCTATCTAAAATGTTCCAGGAATCACATCTGTGTTGTTGTTGTTGTTGTTGTTGTTGTTAGTTGCTGTTGAGTCCGTTTCTAATTTAATCCTTCATACAGCTTTCCCAGTTTGTGTTTGTTACATTTAAGGTCTTAAGACAGCAAGCTATTGTTTTTAAATTAAAAAAAAAAAAAAAAAACTTCCACCAGTAAAAGTCCTTTTGATATAAAATATTTCATTTGTTAAACATTTATTGAATGCTCTGCCCTCACTCCTGGTATGTGTTGTTAACTGTTGTTGTTAAGTGCCATCGAGTCATTGCAGCCCTGTATAGGGTTTCCAAGGTCAGTGGTAGGTTTGAACCACTGACCATGTGGTTAGCAGACCAGTGCTATTCTACCACATCAGAACTACACAGTGCTAAATTCCAGGGCAATATGAGATGAAGAATAGGACCATGTACAGGAAATCTCGCTGGAGGGGACAGCAAGCTGGGGGAGGGGCTAGGAAAGGTTTCCCGCTCATACCAAGCTCTGATCGTCTTTCTCTCCCTCAACCACTTAGAGTCACAGATGACAAATGTGTTCTTAGTAGTTGTAACAATGTCATCAGTGAAAGCAGGACATTTTCTTTCAGTCTGTGATGTTTAGTCACGACTATAACATGAGAATCCAGAACCAATTATTTCTCATGATCAGTAACAGATGCTTTGCAAGAATTGGGAGGTCGTCAAATCTCACCTGCTGAATATTTATGTGACTTTAATATAAGGGGCTTTATAATTAGACATCTACTCTGTGGAAAGTTTAGAGATGTAGGTGAGACATCTAAAACATCGTTGTAAAACATAGGTCTTCTGTATGGCATGGTTTGTTAGGTGAAGTAAGAGGCTGGTCATGTGAAGGAAAGTGAAGCCCTATTATTAGTACATTACCAACCTGCGCAGGAGACTAAGATAAGCCGTCTCTGTTTAATTACCTTCTCTATAATTAGGGGCTCCGTCTGAAATACAACAGTTCAAAATGATACCAAGTTATACACATATATAAATTTACTGCCCCATCCTGTCTTATAATGAATGATCACAGTCACCACCAGGTACCATGGAGTTGACTCTGACCCAGGGCGACCTCATTGTGTCAGGGTAGAGCTATGCTCCCTGGAGGCTTTAATAGCTGATTTTTCAGAAGATGACCAAGACTTTCTTCCAAAGTCTGCATGGGAAAACTCAAACCTCCAATCTTTAAGTCATCAGTCAAGAGCATTAACCATTTGCACCCTTGGGTGTGCTGACTCTATAGGATAAGCACTGGACTACTAATCACAAGGTTGTCAGTTCAAGCCTCTAGAGAGAAAAATGAGGCATGGTGCCCTTGTAAAGATTTGCAGTCTTGAAAACCCTATACAGGTTCCATGAGAGTCAGAACCGACTCAACGACACTTAACAACAACAATATATGCCAGAAACTATCCCAGGTATTAGGATATATCTGTGGGCAAAACAGTCAAAAAATCTATAGCTTCACGGAATTTACATTTGTGTGTAGGGAACAGAGAAAGAAAAGGGTTAAGAGACCAGCCTTCGATTATACAACTAGTAATTGGTGGAGGCAGAACCAAGATCTTCCTGGTCCTAAACAAGGGCCCATGGCACGATGTCAACAGCGTATCCATTGCTAAAGCGTATTTAAATTGTTTCACAGCTCCTTGATGAAAAGTTTACTTTTGGGGAAGAGAGTTAAATATCCTATTTCCTTAATTGTGTAGACTTCAGCGATAAGAAGACTAGCCATGCAACAATTTAATGACAATACTGTTGTTTTCAGGGACAGGTATGATACTTCACTCTTAGATACATTTCTAATCCACTTCCCAATTCCAAAAAGAGACCACAGTGACTCTATACTATAAGTACTGCACTGAGAACTACAAGGTTGGCGGTTCGAATCCATCAACAATTTTGTTGCAGAATGATGAAGCTTTCTGCTCCTATGAGTTGGAACTGAGTCGACACTTAACAACAACAATAACTCCAAAAACTGATAATACATTTTAAAATAGAATCTGAGACTCAATAAAGTATAGTCTTTAAGATTGTGGATAAGGAACTGGATTCTTAGTATTAAATTATCTAGAGTAATGAAGTTTCTAGGCAAAAAGTAGCAATTGTAATGGTCTCCAAGTTGTTTAAGCCCATTATATTCAACACTGTTACAACTCATACAAATTTGAATTATACAAATAACCCAGTATAAATCATTTCAGCTGAATTAATGAAGTAGAAAATATTAATGCCACTTCATGAATACATTGAAATGATATGCATCTTACTTTATATTTCTTCCTGTGAAGAATTTTGTCTTAAGCAATATTTAAATTCCATATTATCTTTAGAAACACAACTTTTGCATGAAATTCAGCTACCACTGAATTTCATATTGGTTAAACCACTTGTCACGTGTGCATTTTCTTCATCTGTCATTCATTTCAGGGTGAGTTTGAAGACTCTGTAGCCCTAGTACCAAAGAGGAAAGAAAGAATCTCTGTTTGCTTTCCCTTCTCATTTCATTCAAGGGGCCAATACCTTGTACTGAAACATAGATGTCTTTGTAAATTTATGTCGGCTGGCTTCCCATAGGGTTACAGTATCCCAAACTGGAACCCAGATGTTAAGAAAATTGGGTAGACTAAATGATAAACTGTTGGAGTGTTTCACCTTTTTTCTAACATATACAGGTGTGCACCAGGATATTTCGGGAATCCCCAGAAATTTGGAGGTAGCTGCCAGCCATGCAGTTGTAACAATAATGGCCAATTGGGCAGTTGTGACCCCCTGACTGGAGGTAAGATTGACTCACATCTTTCTTAGCATGCATCTATAAAATTACTGTAAAATATCAGGCCATCAACACTAGCAACAACTTTCAGGAAGCATATGCTATTTCTGCCAACAGGTTGGCTCTTTGTGTTGACAACCCTACAATTGCTTAGGTGGTATTTACAGCTTTGGTGAATAATTTATTTTAGTTAGGATTTTTAGAAAGTAACTTGGTTTTGAAACTCAGTAACTTCAAACCTTACCTTTCAATTTTGCTAAGATTGTCCTTCGACACTATAAGTTTCTTGTCCTGTCAGCTTTCTATGTGTTTTTGAAGACATTAAAGCTCTTACCCTCTTATATAAACGAACAAGGAAAAGATGGCTACTAGGAATTAGAATGTGTTCATTGGGAACAAAAAGGAAATATATGCTCCTTATTTAATAATAGTATAACATTTGATAATAGTGTAAGTTCGATAATAGTATAACATTAAACATGAGATAAACTCTCATGCTATGTGTATAGACTAAATGAAGAACTAAAACCTGGGTGTGTTGATTAGATCTAATCAAATGATTATTCCCAAAAGAATACAAAGCAAATTAATATCTGTCTAGAAGGAGTATGTTTGGCACTATGGGATAAAGCACGGGTTGGTTTGAACCACGAGGTTGGCAGTTCAAACTCACCAGCTGGTCCTTGGAAACCCTATACAGGGTCAGAACCAACTCAAATGGACTTAACAACAACAACAAAGAAAGGTATCTATTGTCAGACCACCGGCTCCAAGACATTCAACATTTTTTTTCTTGGATGAAAATATAGACGACATACCTAGCCAGTTATCAGACAGCATAAAGTTGAGAAGAAAGGAAATACCTGTTTGACACATTTAGGATCAAAAAGAGCTTCAACATACAGAATTGTGAGCTGGAAAAAATTTTGGTAGGGATAAGAGTGTGATCCTATGTTGTTGTTGTTGGTGGTGGTGGTGGTAGGTGATGTCGAGTCAGTCTGACTTTTAGTGACCCTATGTACAAGAACATAATTCAAATGCATGAATTTTTCTTAGGTCTTTTTTATTCATTGTCCAGCTTTCACATGTCTATGAAGCAACTGAAACTACCATGACTAGGATCAGTCACACCTCAACGTGACATCTTTGTTTTTGAAAACTCTAAAGATGTCTTTTGCAGTAGACTTGTCTAGTGCAATACATCATTTGATTTTATAACTGCTGCTTCCAAGGGTGTTGATTGTGGATCTAAGTAACATGAAATCCTTGATTGACAAGTTCAGCCTTTTCTCCATTTATCATGGTGTCACTTACTGGTTCAGACTGTAGGATTTTTGTTTCACTTATGTTTAGTTGTTATCTATACTGAATTCTGTAGTCTTTGATCTTCATGAGTAAGTACTTCAAAGTCTTCTTTGCTTTCACCAAGCAAGGTTCTGCCATTGCATCTACCTCCAGTACTAATACTGTATTGTTCTTCAAATAGTCCAGATTCTTAGAGTATTTTCTTAGCAAAGCAGATTGAGTAAACATGGGGACGCCAACTTTTCATGATTTTAAACTATGCAATAATCCTTTGCTGCATTCAGACGATTGCTACAGTTGAGTGGAAAAACCATTAACCTTTAAGTAGTAGGTCATGAGTAAGACATATCTTATTAGCAGGTCATGTAAAAATTCAGTAGATTTAGAAAGTGTGATGTGGGTCCAAAAGTGCCTCACAGTCTCCTCACTGAGTTCTAGTGTTTAAAACCAGGAGAAGTGTCATTCCATGACACACTGCTCACATAAGTCCTCCTGAAGGGCTATGTCTTAAGAAGATAATAAACAAAGTAGGTTCTCTTCAGAACAAGGGTGAGAACTTGCAGCCAGGTTACATGAGGGAGGGAGGATTGAGGAAACAGGACCATGAGAAAGAAGACTTGGAAAGGACATATTTGAAAGGCTGGTGTGTGGAAGAAGGGTTTATCTTATTTTATGTGGCATAGAGGACAGAATTTATACTGAGATGTAATAGCTGAAGGGAGATCTAGTTTAACTCATTCTAAGGAAGAACTTTCAAAACTTTAAAACTGTTTGGAGAAGACTTTTAAAAAGGAAGTGAGTTCTATCGTCAGTGGAGCTATTGAAGGAAAAGCTTCAATATCCCACTCTATTCATGAGGTTAATACTTCTTCAACAACAAAAATTAACAACCTGAAATGGGGGTAGTTAACTGTTTGCTCCAAAAACAAAAGAAAATGCTCTCACGTGGGACTGGTTTAATTTTGTGATCTTTATTTATTCAATTAATAATGGTTATTAAAACTCAAACATGTTGAGAAAATGATGGTGATTAATCAGTCATCTACATAAGCCAAGCACTCATAGACTTTTCAAGGTGCAAGAGGAGAGTGTGAGGAAAATAAGACCATGCTTCCAGGCAGGAAGACTTTTACAGTCTAATTGAGCAAAGAAGAGTGGCCAACTATGTATGTTGTCATCCCTCAGTATCTTCAGGGGAATTGGTTCCAGGACCTTTGTGGAGACCAAAACCTGCGGATGCTGAAGTCCCTTATGTAAGATGGTGTGTTTGCATACACACATCCTCCCATACACTTTGTACTTTAAAATCATGTCTGTATTATTCAGTATACCTACGATGGCACTTAACAACAACAACAACAATATAATGTAAACGTCGTGTAAATAAATAACACTTGAAGTCCTGGTGTGGCAGTAATCACTGAACTGCTAACCTCAAGGTCAGCAGTTCAAACCAGTAGCTTCTCAGAAATCCTATACAGGATTACTATGAGTCAGAACCGACTTGACAGCACTTGACAACAACAACTCCCTGTTAGCCTTGGAGGGATTGCTTTGACCCTTTAATTGCTTCTGTACCACCCCCACCCTCTTGAATATTTTCAGTACAAAGTTGGTTGAATCTGTAGCTATAGAAACTGACGATACAAAGGGACAGTTGTATGTGCAAGAATGAGTAAAAGATTTTTTTAAAAATTAAGCAAACCCTAGATTATATATGGGGAGTGTGGTATCTCTTTAAGATAAGTACTGGACTTCAAATCACAAGGTCAGAAGTTCGAGCCCTCCAGCCGTTCCTTGGGAGAAAGATGAGACTTTGGGCTCCTGCAAAGATTTATAACTTCAGAAACCCTAAGTAGGGTCGCTGTGAGTTGGAACCGACTCCACGGCACTTAACAAAAACAGATTATATATAATAAAATGTATACAAAGGAAACTGTCTTGGAGTGGTAAGATCAAAGGTAATGTTTTTATCATATTTTTCTAATTTTCCCAAATGTTCTATAGTTAACTTATTTTTACAATACAAAGTAAGTGTGGTTTAATGCATATACACAAAAGTGTGGAGTATCACTGGTTGCTGAGAACAAAAGTGAGAGCACCTTTGTGCACATCTAGAAACATTTGAAGGAGTGCTCAAGCTTAGAGTGTTGCTACAATGAAGTGACATTATTTTTCAGAGGGAAATTAAAGAGCATTTCAGTATGAAAAATGAATGTCAAGGAAACAAGTGTAGAAGTGAGAAGGAGTCAAGAATGTCCATGACGTTCTTGACTTCAAATCCAAGTTTATGCCTATATGTGCGGCAATTGGCCATCTGGTTTCACTAATGTTGTGCACATCGCTCATCCCAGAATCTGTTACACTCCTTTGTAATTTGTCTGTCTCCACTGTGGGGTACGGTTTTTGTCTTGATACCATGGACCTGGCACCAGGCTATGGTACACAGTGGATCCTCAAAGTGTTCCAAGAAAGTTTGTTGAATGCTTTTTGATGATACTGAACAAAACCTAAACAATTATAAAAGAGAATATCAAAAGAATTGAAGCTTTAACACTAACTAATAAGCCTGTTACTGTTGAGTCAATTCTAACTAATGGAAACCATGTAAGGCAGAGTAGAAATGTCCCTATAGGGTTTCCAAGACTGTAATTGTTGCAGAAGCAGCTGGCCCATCTTTTTCCCAAAGAGTGGCTGGTAGCTTAGAACTGCCAATCTTTCTATTAGCAGCAAAGCGCTCAGCTACCGTGCCACCAGGGCTCCTACACGAGCTATTAGAAAGCCACTGCTGAGTTCTCAAAGGAAAGTTTAAATAATCAGAATTTTTCCTGAGGAAGATGATGACCTTTTTATAATAATGACCCTTTTAGAAAGAAGAAATTTATGATAAATTGGAATTATCAGGAAGCTACAAAAGAAATCCCTGCAGCAAACCTGCTGGGAGGTGAGACAGATCCATGGCTTTGGAAAGGGAGAGAAGAGAAGAGCCAGTAATGCTGCATAGTTTAGTGATCACAGTTTCCCCAAACCAGCGCTTCTGAAAGCCAAGCTACAAATTGGAAATTGAGCCACAGGAGTGACTAAGGGCCAAATAGTAGACAGGGTCTGTAAGGGAACCGTAACAGTAGTGAGGTAAACACACTCTAGAGTAATCTCCCATTTGAGATCAAAGGACAGCATTTACCCAAGGACAAGGTTCAGAAGGTTTAGGAAAGAAGGAGGAATGGAAACAGGAAACAGGGAGGAGGAAGTGGGATAAGTGATGTTACATTGTGGGGATTGTAATCAATGACATGAAACAAAATGTGTATGAATTGTTGAATGGAAAACTGATGATCTTTATTAACTGTCACCCAATTCACAATAAAAAAAATTAAAAACAAAAAGGATAAGTTCAATAACAGCGTCTTCTCTGATTATTTTCTGATTTCAGACTGCTTAAACCAAGAACCCAAAGATAGTGGCCCTGGAGAAGAATGTGACGGTGAGAAATGAAAACTCCTGCCCTCCTTTCCAAGTAATGGGCTTTAGTTTAAGATACATGAGCCCTGTGATAAGAATGCAGGTCCCCAGCTGGTATTACAGTGGTGGGAGGATATGTGTTTATGGGCCAGGTATGGATCAAACAGACTTAAGGGTCAGATCTAACCTCTGTCAACTACTATTTGTATGACCATGGCAAGCACCCTTATTTCTCCCTTTTATTATTTGTACAATGAACATCAGACCTATACCGACTTCATTGGGTCACTGGGGAAATACTTTGAAATTTTGTATCACAATGCCTGGTAAATGTTGTTGTTATTATTAAGTACCCATAGTGACACTGTATAGGGTTTCCAAGGAGCAGCTGGTGAGCTTGAACCACTGACTTTGCAGTTCAAATGACTTTGCAGTCTGACGCATTAGCCCACAGCGCCACACCAGAACTCCTGGTAAATAGCAAGCACTGAATGAAAACTATTTATGATTATTTTCTCCATATACAAAATCAGCAACAAGTTGCCTAGAATTGCCGTTTGTTATAAGAAGGCTTCCCCTTCTGAGCTTCAGTACAGTTGTGATTGTTACCTAGGATGGGCTTCTCTGTGCTCTCTTTCATTCTCGGGGCTCCAGTCTGCAGCACATTTGCCTTTGATTGTGGTCCTTACAGATTGCGACAGCTGTGTGATGACACTCCTCAACGACCTGGCCACAATGGGTGACGAGCTCCGCCTACTCAAGTCTCAGCTACAGGGCATGAGTGCCAGTACAGACGCTCTGAAGCAGATGAGGGAACTGGAGACCCACACCAAGAACCTGAGGGTAAATACTGTGTGGGTCCAGATGGTGCCTGGCCCAGAGCAGATGCTTCAAGAAAAGATGCTGCATGAATGACTACTTCTCAAACAGGAAACTGGGAGAGGTTGGGCTTTTCTCCTCCTTCTGACTCAAACCCACATTAGTTTTTGTTGGTTGGTATAAAGTATTAACTAAGTTGGTTGGTGGTTATGTGCCGAGGAGTCGGTTCTGACTCACAGTGAGTGACCCTGCACAGGGTTTCCGAGGCTGTAAATCTTTACGGGAGCAGAAAACCTCATCTTTCTCCCGTAAAACAGCTGGTAGTTTTGAACTGCTCACCTTGCGGTTTACAGCCCAATTCGTAACCACTACGCTACCAGAGCTCCTTATTAACTAAGTAAAGACTTCTAATTGAATAGCCTTTGCTTAGTGGTCACTTCTGGGCTAACTTTTCTCATAGACTTATTGTTGTTGTTGTTGTTAAGTGCCGTTGAGTCGGTTCCGACCCATAGCGACCCTGTACAGGGTTTCCGAGGGTGTAAATCTTTACGGGAGTAGA